CTTTTAAAAATGAAGATGCCTTGAGTAACTTAGAAATGCAAGATACTAAAGCTTTTCAAAGCCTGCATGATCTCCCTGTGCAAAAAGGCTTTATTAGTTTATGTGCCTTCATACTGGGTAATAATTCGGCACTTTGTGCATAATGAACTGAAAAAGTCAATGGTGACATTGTTGCTTTCCTAGGCATTACAAAAGATTGCATGCTGTTAGCACCCAACTCATTACCTTTCATGTCTTATTGCAAGTGAAAAATAAGCCACTTTTAGCAAGCCCTCTTCTTGCCTAGGACATGTCTTAGCCAACATCCTTATTACCCCAGCCTGCTGTACAGGAATGCCATCAACTTACACTCTTGCCAACATCATCCTTTGAACTCATCAGATCCTCCATCTCTGTCCGGAACTGCTTATTGAGTCGCTCTAGCTCTGCTTTCTGTTCAATTGCTTCCTCAAGTGCTCTGGCCAAGGAGAGAGCTTTTGTTTCCTTCTCACGAGCTTCTGCCTCAGCACGATCCCGCTCTTCAGCATATTTTGCAGAGATGGTTTTCTCTTCTGCCAAGAGCTAGAAAAAGGGAAATCAATGGCACTATGAGATTTCCAAAGGAAAGGTTTGCTATCCCCACTTGTTCCATCTGTAATGGTTTGACTACCAAGGATAGGTCACCTGTGTACCAAACTTAGCCACCAATTCTAGATATGTGCCAGGATTAAAGCCAAATGCACTTGTCGGCTTCCACTTAAAAACCAGCTAAAACAGACAGATATTATTCGGGACTATTACCAGTTAAAAGTCAAATTCAGGAACTAGAGTGAGGAGAGTTGATATTTGCTTACAACTGTTCACAATTGCCCTTCATCTATGGGACAAAAAATGTGCATCTAAAATATGACACTTTTCTTTCTCCTTTTCACCAGAATCTATCCTAGGTGAAGGAGAAGGACATTGTTGAAAGTTATAACTAAGTGTACCTGATCAAACTTCTTTTGTTTTTTCTCCAGGTTGGAGACTATCTGCCGCTGATGATCCAAATCCACAGAAATATCATCCAGCTCCTGCTGAAGCCTGGTCTTTGTCTTTTCCAGCTTGTCATAGGCAGCTGCCTTTTCCTCATAACGTTGGGTCATGGCCTCCAAATCTTTCAGAAGCTTCTTCTTTGCTTCTTCCACTGACTCCAGACAAACCACACTATCATCCATTTTCTTCTTCATTTCTGCAATCTATGTGACAGAAGCAAGCGGGTGGGGAAAAGGAATAATTGATTTTTTAAGGAAGGAAAGAAAAGATGTGGGGATTGAACACCATTTTGTAACTTACAAGTAACAGTGGGTCACTAAAAAGAAACCTATAATTTTTGAAGGTATGAACTATTTTTAGGGAGAGTGTTCCACGGTGAGACTTGCCAAAGCAAAAGCATCATCACTTGCTGACTAAGATGCAACAGTGGGATATGACCACTGAATTCCAGGAATATTTCCCAGGGTTGGACTGTTTCTAGGACAGCTCTATCAGACATCAGAAAGACAGTTCCTATTTAATTAGTCAAAACAACTTTCAAAAGAGCTTGTTTTGGCTACCAAATTCATATTTCCCATGCAGAATCCAGCATGCCATTCAAAAGGCATACTACTGCCTTGTAAGCTACATTTGGACATTCTTTCCTCAAGTCTTCTAGAGTACCTGAAGCTGAAGGACAGAAATCTGTTTTTCCAAGTTCTTCTTTGCCTCCTCCTCTTCCTCTAGTTGCTCTTTGAAGCTGTTCTTCTCATCTTCCACCTGTTTCAGCTTAGTACTGAGGCTCAGCTTCTGACGAGTTTCCTCCTGAAGTAACTCCTGCAAGAGCCACCACAACAAACATTTGGTCTCTTATGATGAAAAGTCTGGTAAAAATTTCCAAATATATATCACATCTGAAGCAGAGAGAACCTTAAGCAATGGCTCAACACCACCGAGCAAGCTGATTTGTCCCCAAAAATCAGTTGGAGTGACCCACAAAATGTAGTTTAGTAGACCTAGTGGAGATACCCCCAAGAAGTTATGTGGCCCTTGGGATGAATTGCCAGTGGAAGCCCACATTCCAGTAGCCGCACAAGGCATTTGGAGGGGAGGAGCATGACAGACAAGCTGTTATAAGGAGATTATGAAGACTGGTTGCAACTATAGTTACAAAAAGAAGCTAAAGTTAACTACTCTTAATATAAAGTATTGCCAAACTCCTCAGAGATTATAGATTATATGCAGAAACCTGCACCACCACTACTCTGAATCTGACAAGCATGGTTAACCCTAAAATCTGTTCCTGAGCTTGGAACGGTGAAGAGGGGATCATGACTGCAGTTCTCCTGTGCGTCTGATGTTCTCAGAACACGTTCAAAATGTAGCCTGATTGCAAGTACAATTCCCTGCTCCAAGCTTGGAAGGAGGGTTGGGGCTCATCCAGTTGCACTGTGCTTCCAAAACATGGACCTTGAGGAACCACAGGCCTCCTCCCAAGCCTGAAGTTGTTCAGAGCAACTCTATAGCTCATTGTGACAGATATATCCCCATTAGGGAAGGAAGAAGATTCTGGTGGTCACATATTTTGGTTACAAATATCAACCACTATTTGTGGGGACCTCATCCGCTGTTCTGCAGTCTGTATTTTTCTGTCAGTCTAACAGATCTGTCATGATTAATCAGGTTTATATATTAGGTTTGCATTTTGGAGTAAAGATAAAGGAAAAGGTACCCCTGACCATTAGATCCAGTCGCGGACGACTCGGGTTGCGCGCTCATCTCGTTCTATAGGCCAAGGGAGCCGGTGTTTGTCTGCAGACAGCTTCCGGATCATGTGGCCAGCATGAATAAGCTGCTTCTGGCGAACCAGAGCAGCGCACAGAAACACTGTTTACCTTCCCACTGCAGCGGTACCTATTTATCTACTTGCACTTTGATGTGCTTTCAAACTGCTAGGTGGGCAGGAGCTGGGACCGTCACGGGGATTTGAACCGCCAACCTTCTGATTGGCAAGCCCTAGGCTCTGTGGTTTAGACCACAGCGCCAACTGCGTCCCTGCCGCATTTTGGTGTAGCTAATTGATTTTTCACCTATTTCTGTAGCACTTTAAAGCCTCACCTGTGTGTCCTGTAGCTGAGACTCCAGCGTAGAGAAATCTTTGGCCAGTTTAATTGACTTGCTGTCAGATTGATTCAGAAGACCAGTGACATTGTCCAACTCAACCTGAAAAATTAGAAGAAAATTCGAACCAATCCCATTAATAAAGAGTTTCCATTTACTATCAATTTTCCCCTCTGTTGAGCAGGAGAGAAACTGCAGCATCGTCATAAATCACTCCATACTAGTTAAGGCTAAACAACAGGAGTTTTAGGCACTTGATGCCCATCAGAACTACCACCCACCACTTCAGCTATCGGCTTATTGTCCCCTAGTTGGTGTAAAATTAATCAAGAGGTAGTGGACTAATTCACATTATCTCCAAACGAGCTTTTTGTTTAATGCAAGTTACTGGGGCTGAAAAGTAACAACATAAATACGGATCATGTTAGAACAGCTGAGAGTCAAAACTTCAGGAGGAGTAAAGCAGCACTGCAGCCCCAACCCAATTCTCCCCACTTCCCCCTCTAAATTCTGTGCTAAAAACCAGAACACAATGAATAGGAGGGCAAAGGGAACCAACACAGGAAGCTCACCTGCAATTTGTTAACTCTCTCAGCCAGCTCAGTTCGTACTCTCTCCCCCTCTGTGAATTTCACTTGTAGCTCTTGAAGTTGAGTTTCACCCCTCTTCCTCTTGTGCTCAGAGTCTCCTTTGGCTTGAAGAAGAACTTTCACCTCATTGGACAGCTCAGCACGTTCACTCTCTAGTGCCTGCTTTGCCTTTTCAAGGTTCACTTTCACCTGAAGGAGACGGGAACAGAAAGCTTTAGTGTAGTCTTTGCAGAAAATTTGATTTCACTAACGAATTCATAGCCCATTATTCCAAATTGTGGTCCTGATGCAAAAGACAGATTTGCAATTTGGGCTCAGCATCCCAAACACTATTTGAGCAATAAATCTGCAGGTTTCCACAGCTGTACATGTGATGCTATGAATTAAAGCTTCATCCTCACTTAGGCAGGATGTTCATGGCAATAAAGGAAACTAAAAAGATTCTAGGTAGTTAATACTAATGTTTTCATAAAAATAGGTGGTAAGCAAGAATATGCACAATTCAGCAACATTGCTCTCTCAAATTACAGGTAACTAGCAACTTATGCCCATTTAATTTGAGCGCTTTCAGCTTTACGCACTTGGGGGGGGGGATGGAAAAATCTCTGGGCAGCTCCCAACAAAAAATAGTAAAAGCACAATATGTTGCACACTAAAAACTTTCCAACATCTCACACACCCGTTTAGTCTGCTCCAACTGCTCTGCCAGTTCTTCCACAGCCTGGGCATGTTTCTGCCTCATCTCCTGGATCTGTGCCTCATGGGTCTTTGCCTCATCATCCAGAGTCTTCTTTAGAATAGTCACTTCTTGTTCACGTTTTGACCTTTTAAAAAGCCAGATATATTTCTATTAGATAGTAGTTGAGAATGCAGTGCAATATGAGTTCCAAGGGTGCAATTGGAAGATTGGCACTTATTTGTGGAGCTACTAAAGTACAAATTGAAAGGAACAACATGGCATAGGAAGAATAAGTTTTGCAACAAGTTCCACTGGAAGTGTAAAATCTGCTGGACCCACTATTCCCCTCTATATTTCGAAGAGGTGGAATTGGTCTGAGCAGTATCAAACATCGAACGTTGCAATTACCTGAGTTCCTGCTGTGCTGCAGTCGAGTCCAGTGTGTCCTCTAGTTCTGTCTTGAGAGCCTCAAGCTCCTCACCAAGATCCCGCTTCTGTTTCTCTGCTTTGTTCCTGGCAGCCCGCTCAGACTCCAGGTCTTCCTGCAACTCTGTTATCTGAGACTCCAGTTCACGGATCTTCTTCAGAGCCATGTTCTTCTGAGCAGCTTCCTCTTCCACCCTACACAAGACAGAGACATACTACACCAATGATTTCTGCTTCAATGACCATAAACAGCCATCTTATCTGCAGGAACGTTACTAATGCTGCGATTCTACACACTTAAGTTGCAAGTATGTCCCAGTGAATGCAGAAACAGGTTAGGGATGCACTGAAACAGAAGTTAGTGTTGAATGCTAACTTGACAACACACCAATGCTCTGGCCTTGTTATAACCATAGTTGGCTTGTAGTAGAAATGCTTCGTTTCAGCCTCCAACAGAAAATAGAAGGTCAATAGGAAGTTGGAGAGGTTGAAGTGGGAGACTACAGCTTAATTTATGGCACAGAACTTCTATGGTCCACAGCACAAGCCAACTATTTACTTTATTGCTGCCTCCTGATCTTATCAAGCCATGTAGACCAGGAATTTCTGCAACAGATCCCATTTAAAAATTAATTTCCTACCAACACAACATTTGCAGTTGCATGAAACAGGGTTACCAGCCAAAAGTCTTAGACACTTAAACTGAGGCCATTCATTCCTAAAACCATTTAGAGAAATCTCAGGATTCTAGCTAAAAGAACACAAAGGAAAATTTATTGCTTTTCCTAATTTCCATGTAGACATTTAATTCCATGACCAAGGCCTTACCTAGCTAAAGCTGCTTGCAGCTCTTCCTCTTTTTTTGCCAGCTGCATTTTGAGCTCTGCTATTTGAGCATGAAGTTCAGCTATTTGGTCATGAAGATCTGTAGAGTCTCCCTCTAGCTTCCTACGGGTCTTCTCCAACTCTTGCCGTTGCTTTTCTTCTCGGCGCAACCGTTCTGATGGAGAGAATAGAGCTGGGTCAATGGTTCATCTTGGCTCTTATAGCCCTAAGCAATACTTCATGTGAAGAGCCAGAGTGCCAGAACCTGCATCCAAACATGTCAACAATTATGGGCCACAGTAACAGCTCCCAGTTCAGGTACCCATGTCAAAGAGTGAGTTTGATGGTATTGCCCTTCAAACTCCTCAGTGTTCATTCAATCCCCTGCATAAGACTGTTCAGTTAAGGCAGACAGTACTATTTCCAGCTGTGGAAAACCACCACAGGCATTCTGAGCACAATGCTGAAAATGCCCTCAGTCTTTTTTTAAAAAGTCAAATTAAGCAACGACATATATGCCAGCTTTATTAGCAATGCCACAAACTTATCTTTTAAAGTCAGTAGTAGAAGCAGCACAAACCCCAGTATTCCGGTATCACCGAATACACAAGAGCAGAAATATTCCCACAGCAGGAGGCGAAATGGAACCAGCTGCTCTTCTCCATTGGTCTGTTTTAGAGGTTTGTTTTTGTTCAAACTAAAGCTAAGCTGGCAGTGTGTAACCTTCAGCCATCCATACACTGAATGGTTCTATTAAACTGATCAATACCTGTCCTACAAACCCAGTGGTATTAACCCATTAAAAGCCAACATGGTCAGAAATGTACAACACGCTGTGCAGAGAGAGAGATGCTGATGGAGGAAAAGCTGATTAAAGCCACACTCTCTTAGGCCCTTCCCTACCTTCCAGCTCTGTAATCATAGTCTCGTGCTTGTTCTTGAGTTTAGCTAAACTCTTTGACTTCTCCTCTTCCTCAGTTAAGTTACTGGTGAATTCTGCAATCCTTTCTTCCAGTAATTTCTTTTCCTGGGGGAAACAAGGTATGAGTTGTATTGAAGAAACAGTTGAGAATACCTTAACAGCTCTTTGCAATGCTTTTGATTTTTCATTAGAAAGCAAATACCCTGGAAGTGTCACAAGGGTTGAAGATCACCCAAACACAGTGGAATAGCTACCAATACTACTCAGGCTCCACATTTTATTAAAAGGCAGCAGTGTTTAGTTTTGATGCAAACAGCCTAATGTTCTCTCAGAAGCAAGTGGGCATTTGATACCCCAATTCTCATTCAGCACTGGAGTGCTGCAATCTAGTTTGTGTTCTATTTAGGCATTCAGTACTCATGAGCCTGGGGTAGTGTTGAAGGAGCAGGGCTAGTCTTGGCCATTCCCACTGACTCCTCCATGTGTGTGGTACCTACTGTAATGAAGGCTTGAACAGGGATACAGCTTGTTTGGATCAGGAATCCTGTACTGCTCTAACAGCCACAAGAATGAACTTTTAAGAGAGCTCAACTGTTTGGCCCACCTACTTCCCCAGGAAGATTACTAGATACCTCTTGACTATATGATAAAGATTAATATGCTGCTCATGGTGTCTCTGCTTCCCCAGGTCTCCCCCCCCCCCCGCCGCCTCCAACGGCATGGGGCGGAAAGCACATACATACATATTTGCTGGGTAAAATAAATGAGTCTTGAAAAGCACTTAGAAATGAAGTATTATGTTGGAAGAGCGATGCTTTCCCCTACTTCCTCTATGTACTTTTCACAGGACAAAATGTAACCATCCTCACCATTTTTTTTAATCCATTTTTTCTACTAAGTAGTTCTGCCTTGTTTTTTCAGCCAAGGTACAGTTATTCAGATATTCTATGTATTCCTGAGCTCATGCAAACTGCAGCAAAAAATCTGATTAATTTGCAAAGGGCTGGTGTGTGGGTGGTCCTGCTGTTCAGCACAGGGGCTGAATTAAAATAGTACTTTGACTCTTCCAGTGCTTTGACAGGGTTCTTCTAGAACAGACTTGCTAAAATTAAAAAATCCTTTTACTGGAACCAGTACAACAATATGTTATTTTCTATCCAAATTAGAACATTCCGATTTGGACACAGCTATGATTTCCTAATAGCTTGCTCACGAAAACTCGGCTGCAACTCTAGATGAAGCTGGGAGTGCCAGGGGTGAGGGGAAACCCCAGGTTGCATGAACTCTTTCAGAAAAGTGATATGAAGATGGTATCTGTCCAGTAGGCCAATGAAATTGCACGTGGATAGAATATCAGCTCCTTCATGCAAAGTATATCTTTAGTAATCTCTGTCAGGTGGCACCAACATGCCAAAGAAAGCCAATAACAAGAGCACCTCAGTTCTCATGGATGCTGTCTATATTTCCTTCCTCCTATCATCCCACTACATGGGAGCTCTGTTTCTGCTTTACCTTGGCCAGTTTGCAGTTCTGATCTTCAAAAACTATCAGATCTTCCTCCAGCTTCTTCAATTTTGCTTCAGTGGTCACTTTCTCCAGCTGTAACTTTTGTCTGGCACTTTCCTCTTCCTCCAATTGCTCTTCAAGTTCCTGTACAAGGAACAAGAGAATATATGCATTTATTAGCTAGATAAACATTGGACCGCTTACCATACTTTTAAAATGGTCACGAGGCCATACATTGGTCTATGCATATCAACAGCTAGTCATGAGATGAGCAAACAAACATGGTCCCAGGGTTTACCTGAAGCAGCATCATTTTCTACACTTCCTACTGAGACGCCACTATGTACCAAAGATTATAACAGCTGCTGAGTGTTAAATTATAGCCCATTACCTGAATGTTCTGCTGCATTTTCTTTTTCTCAGCTTGCAGATGCTGGCACCGCTCCTCCTCTTCCTCCACTCTTGCCTCCAAGTCATGACAGATCTCCTCTAGCTCCTGTTTCTTTGTTTGCAGGCGAGCTCTGATCTCTTCAGCCTCAGCACAGAGTTCAATTTCTGCTTGCAACTGCTCTTGCAGCTGCATCTTCTCTGACATGAGCTGCACAAAACAAACACATCTCTTAAGTCAATCTGAGGCTTCTGTTATTTTACTAAAGGTGGAATCAGCTATTTTTTTAAAAAAAAACCTGCTGGATTTTATTCACACAAAGGTGCATTGAAAAAGAAGTGGAAGTCTACAGGATATTATATTACACTACACTACATTTTGAATTAAAAGCTTTGTACAATTCCTTCTCTATCAGACACGAAGTTCAGAATCAAACCTGATTACAACATTGTACATTGTTAGCAGGACAGCCCAGAGGGTCCAAGGCCCATTTTGTGTGCCAGGGCCTGTATTTCCTGCCCACTTCCACCCTGTTCTTTAAACTTATTAAAAAATAAAAACAACTTTGCTTACAGCACAATGCTGGTGAGACCTTAAGCCACCCACTTATAATTTGTCCAGAGGCAGCTGGATATAAATTATAAATTAGCATATATGCATTCTTCTATGGGCCTGTGCCCAAGCTCTTTAGCTTGTGCCCCCAATGCGCAGTGTGCGTCAAAGAACCATTCACTTACAAAACACTATTCAAGATCAGCTATGATGACTACATGACTCTCAAGCACATATATGTAACAAAGGAGCTGATTGGCCACTTTTATGAATGACAACCATCTATTCACCTGTGACTGGAGATTTTCCATTTCAGACACTCTGTTCTCTGCAGCCAGCTGCCTTTCCTTGACTTTGACCAACTCTTCTTCTTTGGCCAGCATCTCCTCCTCCTGCCTGCTCACTTGCAGCAAAGGCTTCACCTGCAGGGAATCAATTGGAGCACAAGTTACCCACGCTTATCAGCCAGCTGCAGAACACTTGCTTTGTTTTGCACAGAGTTTCAGAGCCCTGGTGTCCCTCCTAATGGCCAACAAAGTCCATTGGAAGGAGGGCCAATCCTAAATATGCAACACAGGACATGGTACCAGAGGCAGTGCCTTTAAGGGAGAGGATGACATGCTCTTGTTTGGCTCTGAAGCCTAACTTCCTATCACTGAATCCTTCCTCCGATTAGTACCTTTGTAAACAACCTCCACCATTGCCAGTTGCGAAGCTTCAAGTAGGCAGCACAATTCCTCTGGAGTACCTTCATTGCTGTTAGTTGCTGCTGGCGCTTGGCAAAAGCCCTGTAATGGGAAGAGGTGGGGAAAGCACAAGGTCAGATAAAAGCTAGATACCCTACTTACAAAGCCGCATTAAAATATTTCATTTGCTTTTCCCACTATATCATGCCTTTTCCATTCAAACATTATGTTTGCTTTCTTTTGTTTGTCTTTTACCACTATTTGTGTGAACATTTGGCGGGGGGGGGGGGGGGAGATGACTCAGTCACCAGTCACTCCATATTTCCCATCTCAATCTAGTTCTATCCTACTGGGTTCATACCACATAGTGGAACAAATGCCACCAGCACTTTTTCATAATATAATTTTGATGCTTTATTCTTGTATTTGTATAAATTGTGATGAAAATTCCAGAGCCAATTCATTCTTAAGAGTGTGGTAACATTTTACTTTGATTCAAATGTAAGCTTTACAGTAAAGAGGGAACTTCAGAAAGCTCAGCATCCTGGAATTTAGATATTCCATCTTGTGTGTACCTTGGAAGTAATCTCTCAAGCTTTCCTGAATTGTTAAAAAATCATGAGCCTAGGCCAAATGGTGTTTTTCAAAGTTATCTAGAATTCAGAATGCCAGTAATTTATTGCCAACTGGATGCAGATGTTAGCTAACAAGAAGGATTATACATTACTTTCAACATACTTTCTAGCCAAGTAGCCTCTACAACACGCTTGGAACCCAATAATGACATCTGTGATTTTCAAATCTCTTTCTTCTTCAAGGTGGGCAAGGACACCTGCTCGGAAAAACACTTTGCTCTGTCCAATTCGGTAAAGGTTTGGATCCAGCTCCAAGGCTTTGATCTAAATGGCAATGAGAAGAAAATATTTATCATTGACTAATGAAGAGAATGCAATGCGGTGTATTTCTTCACACAATAACTGTTCCACGGTGACTTAATGCCACTGAAGAAAATAAAAGAGACCTGAGCTTTCCTGCTGAGATGCTCATACAAAGAATAATCCAAGGCTGTAATCCTAATTCCTGCTACCAGGGAGTAATGCCCACGTAATTCAACAGGACTTGCTCCTGACAGGACATGGTTATGATTGCACTGTAAGTGCATCTTTAAAATGTATGTGGTTTAGGAGCTGCTGTCACCAGTGATTGTTGAAGAGCATGCCCTGAAACATACTCCTTCTCATGAATGAAAAACCCATCAGGAGGTAATGTGGAATTCAGACGCATGCCAGTTCCATCTTGAAATTGCAACAACTTAAGAACACTGCTCCACAGTAATGATTCATTAGTGATAAGCCAAGGTCCAGCAGGTCATCAATAGAAGCACACTTTTCATAAGAACACTAAATATGAATTATTGAAATGTCTACCTAATGGATTGTATATTGCTCCCCTAATCCCTTCTTACGTTATCAGCAACAGGAGCAGAGGACTTACCATCAGAACACAGGCTTGCTTTCCATCCATGAACCCTTTGGGAATGGAATTTGGAGTCAGGATCTCATATCTAAAAGGGAAGATGGTACCATTATATCACTAGCTCATATTCGTATGAGTATTTGGCTAATTTTTTTATGAAGTACATGTAAACTCAATGTAACAACCACTATGGTCAAGAAGGGTACCCAGTCAAGTCTCAACACACTTAGCAGGAATGCAACTGAAGATCTCTCTGGGGTATTACTGATAACACAGATAAAGAGAGTTGTGAAGGTGGTCCTGGAAGCAAGACCCTGGCCTGCTAACACCATATAACTACTGAGTGGGCCTCTGACACTACTTGAGGCTGACCAGGGGCTTTAAAAGGCCGCCTATGAAGAATAGACTGCTAACTGGCAAGACAATTATCTTTACAAACTACATGCAGAGACCTCTGACAACCTACGAGCACTTCACATGATGCATTCAATACCATGCAGATTAAAGCCAATGCCTCAGTTTTACCTTTGTCTGAACTCCTGGAAGACAACTCTGTTGGGAAAGCCTTGCCTGCAGATACGGATTCCCTCCAGTACTCCATTGCAACGAAGTTGATCCAGAACTAGATGTGGATCCAGTTTTCCAGCCTGTGAAGAAAAGACAAGTTCTTATTATAGGACATGAGTGCAGATGCTTGTGGATCCCCTGGTGGTAACCAACAGGAGCATTTCTAGCAGCTTAAATTGCACCCCTCCAAGAGAAGTCCAGTAACCATCATGCTTCAACATCCCTGCCTTGCAAGCCTTTTCCCATCTGGCCTGGGAAGTTGGGGCCCTGAATAACTCCAGCTACAAAAGCTGAGGCAACTTAACAGACTCTTGGGCTGGGGTGTTGTTGATTTGGCAGTGGGTTGTTGCTGATGGGTTTTTGTATATTTTAGATCTTGAGGTTTGTGTGGAAATTGTTTAGTTTGGTTGTGTATTTTCGAAATCTTATTTATTCATTACGATTACTTTCGTTATGTTGCGGCTATTTTCCCCCCATGTTGCAAGTTGTCTTGTCCTATTGTGCACGCAGAAGGCTACACATGCAGTGTTGGATTCCAGGCTGTATGTTTCGTTTATTGTAAGCCAGCCAGCGAACAACAAACACTGTTCCTGTATTTTTTAATGGGGGAGGGGGAGTTCGTTTCTCAACCCCTACTCCCACTGCAAGTCACTAAGGATGTTCTTTAAAATGGAAAGTTAGGGCATAATTAAATACTTCACTATTTTAGTACTAAGTAAATACCATTATTTCTCATGAGGTTTGCGAAGATCTTTCCAAGTGCAATGAAAAGGTGCCTTCTAATAGTCATATAGTGAGTAAACACAGCATATCTCGCAAAGGATTAACAACAAGAAAAAATCCAAGACAAGCTAAAGCAGCCACATACAAAGGTAGGGATACAGCTGCTTTCCCCCTCAATATCCCCTACCCCTGAAGTCAGTAATACAGGCAAGAGTGGCAATCTATATTAATCTTCAAGTCACTTCTGATATGTGAGTATAGTACAATGCTTCTTTTGATATGCATTACCTTCTTCTCATGGTTGGGGATGATGCAACGGACAAAGTTGGGGTTGGTGTTCCTCAGGGTAGCCATCAGCTTGGCCAGTTGCTCCTTGTACAGCTGTCCTACTGTTCGGAACATGCCCTTCCTGGTCTTAAAGGCCCCAGGCAATGCTGTGTCTGACATGCCGGCCACCTGATCCAGCCCAACTATGCGATCAACTAGAGGAAAGACACCAGATTGTTAATATTTTCCCCTAAACAGCTTTGGTGAGAGAATGCCTAACATATCTGGATACAACAAGGATAAAAGGAGTTTGCAGGATCCATTTGCTTCACTCCTCTACAGATGTGGAGGACCAATTCATCATTTGTATTGGGCAAAAACAAGGAGGGAAGAAAGCAGCCGACTATTAAAACTAAGATCCATCTCATGCCTGAGAGATTTTAAACTGCAATTTTATGCCAAGATCTAGGAGTAAAGTAGAACTGGCACAATGGGTTTGATTTAGACAAAATATTCTCTCTCATGCTTAATGTAATCAAAAAGGAAAATCACTTCTCACAAAGCTAGCCCCTACAGACTCAATATTTTCCAATGAATGCAACCAATTCAAGTAATGGAATTATGTAAGACAAAGTTATAGCAGTCAACAGTCAAGCCAAGACTGCACTTGGGAATTTTTTACAGGGTTCCTGCTGTAAAATTTAAAATATTTGATCAGACCTGGTGTAGAGAATCAGATGTGATTTAAAAATCCATTTTCTAGTACTAGACAACATCTGTAAGCTAAATATATTAACAAGATTCATTTCTCCTTCTCACTCTGATAAGGAGTCTGTCCCTGGTATATCCCATGGGTCATAAATGATAGAATTTATGGAATCACTGCCCAGTGTGCCATGTTATAATGTGCGTGTGTTTTAGCTGGAACAACTTGTCTCACTGGACACAAGGAGGCAGTTTAGTATTAGCATGTCACAGCAACTGTCCCTCAGTGCTAAAAGCAACTAAGCCTTTTGTTCAATTCTTTTATTTACCAGTTCGCCATGTGCCATAAAAGAAATAAATTATGTAAGATGATTAAACCCCTCTCTTAATATTACTACAATGGACAAAAGATAGTTCAACCAAAATTAGTCATTCTAATCATCAGAATGAGCCTAATGGGATAGGTCAGGTTTTTTAAAAATGCAATCCACCAAACCACTGAATTGTGCACTCAAGCCAGCCACTGCTTCACATATCTCAATGAGCATGTGGCTGTCAAAAGCTCTTTCTCCCCTAAAAAAATAAGAAAAGACTCAAAGGAAGACCTTTAATATGTCAAAAAAGAGGACTGCATTAGAGACTGAAAGACAAGATCATTGCTAAGGGATAATGTACTTGTGCTTAAAATTATGATGCCTCACCCCCCTCAAAAAAACCAACAACATTAGAGTCAAGACTGATGTAAAAACAAGTTGTGTTCCTGAATGGAATCTTAAGAAAAGCATTCATGAAGTTGACTGGCAACTTCTCTTAAAATTGATGGCTAAACATCAGCAGTCTGCACAGAGGCAGCAAAATGTGTAATTTCTCTGAACAGAAACTTCACCCAGGATGATTAGCTGCATCCTTTGGATCAGTAACATTTATAGTTTTAACTTTAGCCACTGGAGAACCTAATTACTGCTCCTCATACACAAAAATATTCAGGTTAGAGCCACATATGGTCATCACTCCATATGGCACCACTAGCAATAAAATAATTTATACAGTAATTTTTTCTCAGAAGCCACCTACTAGGTCTATGTTTAAACAAAGACATTAGATAGCTATTTTTATGAATCACTAAAGCAGTACCATCCATGTGTTTTGTGTTGCTGTGCCTGTGTGATCACACCTTGTTAACAAGATCAGTTATTTTCCAAGCCCAAGAGGGTCTACTAGCAAAAAAGCAGAGGGACTGAATGAGACAGACAAGCAGGAATGGCAAAGGGGCAGATAAGATTTATTGGAAGCATTTCTTGCATGGCTCTAGAAGGAATCACACACGACACAACACCCGGGGTTTCTCAGTCACCTGGTTCTAGATGAAGAATAGGAAAGTGTTGATAGAAATAGGCTCTCTGAACGTTCTGCATCTCTGCAACAGAGACGTCAAAGAAAAACCCAAGAAAAGAGATAGTAACAGTGAGAGTCAAAGCAGATAATCCAGAGTGCAAGATACCTAATGGCACTGGAATAAGCAAAGAAATCCTTAGAGGCAATGTTTGGTTTCATCTCATTACATCCCATATTTGGATGTGGTAAAGTACAAGGAACATCGGTTTGAATGTTATTCTGGGATGCTGCCTGCCCCTGACATTTTGACCCTTTTCCAATCTCTCCTCAGTTCAGCAACAAGAGGAGGATAGTATTCAGAATAAAGCATACACAAGTTTTGGATCACACTGATCACTGTCATTTTAAGGGAGTGGAAAGCCCCTGTATATAAAGTGCTTGAAGATATTGGATAAGCACTCTTTAAGAAAAATATGCAAGAAATCTGGTTGCATACCATCTTTCCACAGTTCAGAAACAAATTTATCAGAGGACTGGTGTAGCAGAGTAGCAATGTTGTCATTAAGGGGGTCCATGTTCTTCATCAGCCACTCATCAGCTTTGTAGTCAACCTAGAGAAGAAATTAATTCATTAATATTAGCTACAAAAGATTAACCTTGCTTCAGTATTGAGGAAAAAGAGGCAAAACTATGATTGTCCCACTCTTGAAATGGAACATGAGTCTAGAGATACTGTACTAAGTGGTGAAGCTTAATTATAGCTTATTTGTTTGATTTAACTCAGAGTAGATCACATAAGTCAATGGGCTTCAAGTCATGACAAACTTAAGTTACCGATCTCAGTGGGTCTATTCCAGCTATGACTTAGTTGGATACCACCAATGTGAATTATCCAGAGCACCTCAGAAGTGCTAGTCAACAAGTGCTTAATCTGCCACTGTGAGAAGAACGGAAAGGCTGGATCGGCAACAGTTCATGTGCCTTGCCATTAAATGGAAAGCCGTAGACTTTTATGGGAGCACACTGCTTCCTTTCCTAATGTGGAACTTGATCACTACATAGCTTTCACTAGCCTAAAACAAACCCTCAAATCAGCAGGACCTAAATTGTCCACAATTCAGTAGCACCTCTTTGCTTTTCTTTCTACTGCAAATATAAGGGCTTACCTTGCCAGCATAGTGCATAATGCAGAAATCAGCTTTGTCTTTTAGCTGCTTTGGCTTCTGAAACTTGGGATGAGTGCCTTGCTCCTGCACCACCTTTTCCACAAAGCTTTTATCAGTAGCTTTGGGGAACCAGCATTCTTCATCCAGTAGGGCCAAGATGCCAGGAGGTCCAGCCTGTGTTAAAAAAAGAAAGCAGGTGGAAATCAGCACTGCTATAAAGATTCATGGTTTTGAACAAGAAAAGCGCACAAAATGAAATCTATCAATTGCTCTTAGCAAAGCAGCTTTCCAGACTGGCCATAAGCAGTCTCTAAAACTATCCCATTTCTTGCTCCTTTTATATACCATTTTTCATAAAAAGAATTCTACATTTAAATGAGTTTTTGCAAGTTTATTCAAATTAAATTTATTATCTTTTATTTATAACCTGCCTGCCTTCCACCATGGAACCCAAGGCTGCTTACATGCTGTTCCCAGGCAGTTTCATACCTAGGGACTAACCATATTCAACTACCTCAGCTGCAGCAAGGCGGTGGCCTCGTATGCTCATAAGACCACACTTATGTAGATAAATTCAGCTTCTTAGCATAAATCAAGAGGTTTGTGCATAAGGGCCTTAAGCTCACTGCAATAACTGTTCTGTACTACCCAGGACACGATGCATGAGTCACTCACCGGTTTTTCTATAAGATCAATGCAGGGCTGCAGATCCAGGCCAAAGTCAATGAAGTTCCATTCTATGCCCTCACGCTGGTATTCTTCTTGCTCCAGGATGAACATGGTGTGGTTGAAGAGCTGTTGCAGCTTCTCATTCGTGTAGTTAATGCACAGTTGTTCAAATGAGTTCAGCTAATTCCGGAAAAATAGAACAATGCAGGTCTAGGTGAATGCTGCCCACCAAACGGTTACCTACTAGTATCCCCATTTCTGAACCAACATTCAACTACAGTTTCTCCACTGCCTTATTTACTGAGATGGAGAATGCATCTTGTTAGGTGCTTAGCAGCACTCATTTGAGCATCAATTCTAAACTTGGAGCAGCAGACATCTGCTCTCCACTTAGCAGCAATCCTGCATGCCAATTCTTACTTTGCTGAAAGAAAGAGTATTTGACAGCAAACATTATATTAAGGTTATTTATTTTGTTCCAAAATCATTTTTAAACACAGTCATTTTGGATTTTTCAGGCAGACCAAGACCATAATATTACATCTAACGCTGAAAACTAGGATGGGACCCTGAGTTTGCTCATGTTGGCTGAAGTGTCCCCTGAGGGGAGTTGCACTCATAATGCCCCCACCAGTAGATGGGGAAAACGAGAATTGCCAATTCCCATCCCATGCACCCCTTTTTTCCCCGGTCTAGAGGGTTGGGGGACCTCTGGGGTACAATAAGAGGGGGGAGGGGGGTGATCAGCACAAACCGCCTATTCCTCTTTCTGCTAGAGGGATGCTCTGCTGGATCTTGGTCCAGCCCATGGAAGAAGACCTTCCATTTGTGGAACCCTAGTTAAGATCCAAGCCACAATCTTTCAGAAGAGGAGCTTACACTGGACTTTAAGAATGTCTCTAGCTTCTCTTCAAAAGAATTCTATTTTGTTCCTACTTGCTGCCTGGGGTCACTGAAAAATTATGTGATACGAGTACACTATGGTCCAGTACATCAAAGGTGGGCTCCCTTGAATTCCTTCCTGGTTGAGCCCTGGGATGAAACTGGAAGGACCACAGTTCAAGTGGAGGTTCTTAGCTGACATCCCTCCTTAAGCAACACTAATATCCAAACACAGTATATTGGAATTTAAAAGTGTGGCTGCCCTTTACTTACCTCAAAGATTTCAAAGCCAGCAATGTCAAGGATTCCTATGAAAGATGCTCCTTGTCTCTTTGTCTTATCCAGTGCCTTGTTGATACGCATCACCAGCCAACGAAACATGCGCTCATAAGTGGCTTTAGCCAGAGCCTCAATGGCAAAGTCAGCCTTAAAAAGGGGGGTGAAAGTCACATGTACAACCCAAACCAGATGGCAAAAAACACTATCACAATTGTTAAATTTAAGGTTGCAGTGCCTGAATCATTAGGAACCCCATCAATTGTCAGAAAGTTAAACCTTTTGCAAATACTCGCCTCTACAAAACAACATGCAAGTGTCAGCCAATGCTACAGGGCTGGTACTACCATATAAAACCCTGAAGCAAGAAGAGAGGCAACTCAGTTCAAGAGAAATTCCCTCTTTACTGTCTTTGTTGCAAACCTGTACAAAACATACCTGCTCTTTAGTTTGAGCCTTTTGGACGTAGTCTCGTCCCACTTTGATGCGAGGGGTGAGAATCCCTCTGCTGAAGTCCGTCACATTGATACCCAGAAGGTGGGAAACTTTCTGAGCAGCTACAAGAGAGAAAGAGCAAAAGCCAAGTTTTAGTATTTGTTTCTTCCATTTTACTGTGAAAATGAGTATTTTTAAGTACACTGTTCTGCAGGGTGTCACATAAGGGAACCTAACAACTTTTCAAACACAGGGAAAGCTGAAACTGTTGCTTCTTTGTGTGCCACAGATAGAGATACAGAGGGTTGATTACTGTTTTGTGTATGCCACTCATTTGCTACAGAAACTCTAGGTTTAGTGCATGATCTGAAGGCAAAGTATGTAGCAGCTTGCTGAAACCAGGCAGGAAAAAGTCTGGTCACTGTCTGAATGAGAGATGCCTACCTACTAACCCTATGCACCTAGGAGTTCCACATTGAAAGAACAGCGAGATTTACATGCGATAATAAAATAGTTATTCGGTTTTCTGGGAAAGGATGGCAACAATCCCTGCCTGTTTTTGATTGACAGACTTGCACTACCAAATAAATATCTCAGTTACAAGCCTGATTACCAAGGCGTAAATCAGTTTAAGCACTAAATTCAGAGTTACTAAGAAAGGTGTGCTGATTTCTGAAGGTTTTTCAACAGCTTACACTTGGCTGCTTACAATTACTTGCAGACTCGAGTACCTGCTGATAGCTCCACCAATTCCATGAGCATTTATGAATGAAAGACTCCCTGATTCAGAGCTACACTTCCCCTCACCATTTAAGGCACTTGAGTTGTAGATGGCATCAGGTCTGGCTTACTGAGTCAAGGTTTTACTGCCCCTCTGGCTTGGCATCAAATTTCTAACATTTGGTGTTCAAATGCCAGAAACCATGATCACAACAATTTCAAAACACACAAGCATCTGTCTCAGTCAGGAGTTTCACATCTGATATTAGAGGGCAAGTGTGACACTTAAACTAATTTGTTTCAGCCGTGAATTGGAAGCAGGTTCCATCACAACCCCACTCAAGTCCTAAATGCATGCCAGCTCCCATTACACAACTGGAACTCAGTTTCTGGCTGTTCCCTCATTCACCTTCTGCCTGGCACAAGAAAGTCTGTAATGCATACTTGTTCTAAAATATAGATGAGGAGAGATATTCATTCCTATAGATCAAGAATCAGTATCTAGTTTTGATGATCAACTTCCTGCAAGTGACCCAACCCCAAACCAGTCAAGTTTGTGTCACTGTAGTTAATCCCAATCATACACAGTTGCTTGCCATCTACTAATTCTGTTGCCCATGTTCAGCTTTCCTCACCTTCTCGATGCCTTGTCTACTCTCTTCCTCCTATGTCCTCCATTTCTCTTCTGCATCTTTCCTTTCAGCTACCACCAACTGACGCTGCTCCCTCACTCTTTCCCTACATTCTACACCCCTTCCTTCACTTGTTCTGCGTTCTATAATGCAATAGCAACAGGCATTACATGTGCCTATTCACGGGTGGTTGCAATTAGACAATGGATGACCCAATATTTACATGTAGATAATATGTTTGCCACCAGGAGGCAACAGCAGTTACCGAGGATATCCAGTTTACATCAAAAAGCCATCAAGGGTATTGCTGTGCTGCACACACTCACTAGAGTTCACTACAGTACATATTTCCACTCTCGTCTGACTTCATATGTGATGCCAACATTTTAAGAAGTGGGCTCTTCCACAAAGCAGCCCCGACTTCCAGCCCATGGGGGAATTTATTTACCTGTATTGTCCCACTAATTCTCAAAATAAATAGAGGGAGCTTGTTAAATTGTTGCTGGAGTCGATCTGGGGATTTTACAGCTGCAATATTATTTACCTGTATTGTCTGGCATGGAGGCTTGGTCTGTATTGCGCTCCTTCTTGAAGACAATATTGCCAAGCTGAAGAACACCCGATATCACCTTCAGCAGACCTAAAGAAAACACCCAAAAGTTACTACATGTCACTTAAGAAGCACACCAGGCACAGATGAACGACTGACCAATTGTTTCATTCCCACTAGCCTTTTGGTATATCAGAGTTGCACAAATGGATCTGCAACAAAATGCTTCTGTTCACTGTCCCAGTCAGCCATGGCCTCCTCCACAATACTCCACACCATTTCTCCTCTTACCCATTAGCCAGTCTTCCATGTTTTCGGAGGGTCATCCACCTTTATTTTTTTTATCTCAATATTTCTTGGTACTTCTACAAACCTTGGAATTGTCTAAGCCTTCCCAAACCTCCCTCTAGTACCTTTTTGGTTACACATTGTATTCATGTTAGATTTATATTCTGACCATACAGCCTACAAAACAATTACATGCATGCCTGATCAGAAATATAAGAAACAGTATTTCCTGGAAAAGGCAAGATGGCTCAAAGGAGGCATCTGAGCCTTAAGTTGGACGTTATTATCATCCAGCTCATGCGTCCCACAAGTCAAGGAAAATAATTTTAAAAAAGAAAAAAATCTTACAACCTGTGACATTTCAGAAAATGTATCATTTCTGCTACCAAATACTGAAAGGCATCAGTATTTGGTAGCAGAATATGTAATACAAAGAGACTGACACATTTTGCCTAACAGATTTATTATGAAAGAGGAGAGTGGATCTTACTATAATAGCATTTATTAGTCTTTTTTCACAAGTGACCCAAAGCAGCTTACAAAATGAAACATTTGGGTCCACTCATAAAAGGTCCAGGAGGAGCACTGATATTGTATATACAATGACGTTTATAAAATGACCTTTTAATCTTCCAGGCTTCTAAAGCACAAAGTAATAGCACTAACATTGTGTGGCAATGCCAGCACTGAAGCAGGTAGACTCCAGAGTCACCTACAATTAAGTTACCCCAAAACATTGAGTCCAGTGCTGTATTGACAGATGCAGACAGTCAATAGGCCCTGTCTACTGTGATGCCACATCTGCAGCCAGGTATGTCTTACAGGCAGGGACCTTGGTGCACTAAGGATTCTGACACTCAGGATACAGTACTACGTTACAGGACCTGCAAGTTTACTATGAACCATGCTGCTGTCTCCAATCAATGAGGGCTACTTACTTGCCTGTTCTTCATGAGTTAAGAGCCTATGGGAGGATCACAGACTTCACCCCAAACAACACAATGGGGAGAGTATCATGATTAAATATTAGCTGTGGAAAAAATGGGCCTGCAGATACTCTACTCTTTCAAAGTCAAGCATCTCATTTTAGGTTTCAGTACCCCTGTGGGGCTTGTCTATTTCTGGCTAAACATCCCAAGCTCCAAACTTCCAAGCTAAGGCAACCTATATAAGTCATTCCAAAAACACAGATATTATTTCCTACTGTATGTTTGCTCCATCAGATGGACCAACTTCTCCAGCCAAAAAGTTACTTTTTATTCAATTTAAACAAACATGTTTTAAAGAGGTTTAAAGCCTTGAGCCTAAAATCAGACTTTCAAACCACCTGCCTTCCAGATGTGGGATCTTCACATGCTTAATACTGTATAGTATTTAATGCGTTCAGCAGCTGAAACAGGGAAGGAGGAGCATTTTTTCATCGCTCAATTATGTTGAATGGTTTATTTAAATATTAAGCTTCATTATTGTTTCACAAGATGTGTGTCTCTTTAAAGACCAGAGTAAATATCATGACCTAGTTTTACAGCTGTGAAACAGCATAGCAGGTGCTGTTAAGTTGTGTTAATTAAGCTGTGTCAGCAATTGGGTATAGTATATAAAGAGCAGCGTGTACCTCTCTCAGTACCCTGGTGAATGAGTCTATGGATGGGTCATAGTTATAGATTGGATGTAAAAGGAGTTTTTGTTTTTGTAATTAAAGCCAAGCAAAAGATATTTTTGTGTATCTTCATTGTTTCCTGAATGTGTGGTCTCCCCAGCACGCTTTCTGCAGCGCAATTAATCTGCTAAATACACAACAAATTACACATCTAAAAACCTTTACACTGGATGTTCATCCACAACACAAAGCAGTAGGAGCAGCTGTTTTAACCAAGCTTGCAAATAAGGTGGAAAGAAAGCTGGGCAGCTTGAAATGTAGGCTGGCAAGCTACTTGCTCTCGTGTGTGTGTGTGTGTGTGTGTGTGTGTGTGTGTGTGAGAGAGAGAGAGAGAGAGAGAGAGAGAGAGAGAGTCCTTTTGAAACCTCTCTTTGCAGAAAAAGGGTACTTGCCAAAATTAACTTGAATGCAGGGAAAGGCCACTATCTAACATCCCCAGATAGGCACATGCAGATCACTAATTTAACTCAAAGTATCCAGGTGCTTGAGGATTTCACTGTTATTTAGCAATCTTCACCACAACCCACTTGCACATCTAAAGCCCTTTTTAGAAGCTTCATACCAATCTGCTCTTCATCTGGAATGCCCATGATCCTCATTGCCTCCATTGTCTCTTGAAACATGTCCTTGTCCTGCTGACCCGGGATTGTAACGTGCCCATTAGAAAGGAAGCGGTATTTGTTGTAGGGCTCCAACAGCAAGTCATCTAAAGAGGCAATAAAGTTTAAACATTAGTGCATAACTTCAGGGTAAACATTCAGGGCAAGTAGCAAGGCTTATATGACAAGTCTGACAAGCCAAATATACAACGACTCGGTATTAAGAATGTCTGCATTACGCCTCCTATATTAAACCCTAGGCTAAGTATTCTTGCATTCCAGCAATTGCTAGATCTTCAACATTAAGCAGAAGCTTAATGTTGTTTCCATCTGAAAAGGTCACGTGAATCTTCCCCCCCCCCCTCATTCCTTATCTAGAGATCTAAACACTGCCCTGCCAATAGTTATGCAACAGTAGTAAACAGGTAAGAACTATCCCGCACCCACAAAAAATGGTTAGTTGGGTTAACTTCAATTAAATGGTGTCTAACTTCAATAACCATTTGGTACAACACTTACGGAAAAAGCAGCTGAACCAGCTTACTTACAAAAACAGTGACTCCCTGTTGCCTATATTCTCACCCATAAATCATGTGAAGGGCAATTACTTGCTGCAAGTTCAGTAAATTCTTTTGCAGTATTCTAAGAGTGCTTTTAACACTTCTAACCTGATGTTTCTCATGGCCTTAATTAACTCAGTACAGCCTTCAGATAAGGAAATGTTGACATTGTTTGAGACTGACAAAGCTAAATCAGTCTTGGGGGAACAAAGACTATACAGGAGGAAAGGGTTAAAAAAAGGATAGAATGCCTGTGCAAAGCACTTCTAAAGAGACTACCAGTAAACTAGGAGTCTATAATTTAAGCACCAAGTACTCACTCTTCAGGTGTTCCCCTGCCCCGGTCAGCAAGTAATAGAAGATGTGGAATGTTCGTTCTTCTTTGGCCTGACGTATTGCTCTCGATTTCTCCAACAGATCTTTGGTAAGTTAAGGGAGAAAAAACAACTACCCATGTCTACATAAATTCTATGTATACGGATTCTCGGGTAGCTTGGCATCTTTCTCAGACCCCAAATGGGCAAGTTGTTTTTGCAAAAACCTCTCACATTCAGGAATTAAGCCTCTATACTTTGAATGCTCGACTTCTGTTCATAGTTATCCTCTCCTGTCACCATACTACTATTAAAGAAAAAGATATATAAAATACTTTTCAAAAACAAAGTACAGTGGTACCTCGGGTTACATACACTTCAGGTTACATACGCTTCTGGTTACATACTCCGCTAACCCAGAAATAGTGCTTCAGGTTAAGAACTTTGCTTCAGGATGAGAACAGAAATCGGGCTTCAGCGGCGCGGCAGCAGCAGGAGGCCCCATTAGCTAAAGTGGTCCTTCAGGTTAAGAACAGTTTCAGGTTAAGAACAGACCTCCGGAACGAATTAAGTACTTAACCCGAGATACCACTGTAACCCAGTCTGCATGGACTTTAAGTGTGCAGGAGTTTGGCAGAAGAGAATAAAGGGTTTTGAGGGGAGGATGTAAAGAGTTGTTATTTCGGACTCAATGAGGTATGCTTAAAAGGCAGCTCATGTATTACAGTACTCGGCCAGATTGAGGCTTCTGCCGTAGCATGGCTCTCATCAGCTGAGCCAATAGTGCACGTGAGTTAACACAAATGTTCACAAATGGTGTATCAGTGTTGAACTGGATCACAAGTACTTCAGGAAGAGATCTTATTTTAAATGTAGCTATAAGATCACTACTCATACGCACTTCAATCGAAGGTTGCCAAGCTCTTCTGAAAATATTATCGTCTTCATAAAAGGCAAGTTGCTTCTTCAAAGTACAACTTCAAAACACTATCCACCCACACCTTTTCTTAAGCCAAGATGCCTGTGTGCTCTCCTCCTCCCCCCACTTTAGTTGTTATTTGGATTTCCCTATCTGTGGGAAGGATACAGGTCTCAATATTGGCTCCTACAATGTAGCCATTTACATCGAAGTTGATTCTGATGAACTTTCCCTGAAAGAAGAAAGAAAACAAGAACTGTTAGCCGACTACACATATTGTAAATGTGGGATATACAGCTGCTATTCTAGATTTCTATATAAAACTCAGGCTCATTCTACAGAACAGCCAAGGAACTTGATAACGGGATACTCTTACAAGCATTAAGTGACTCATAAATTAGATGGATCTCAGTAGAGGACCAGGACCTAGGACACCTGCCGCCTCAGATGCCACTTGTGGTGAAGGCAGGGAAAATGTAATTTTAAATAGGCCACTTTGGCTTCTATTCATTTCCAGGTGCTACATGGCACAGAGTATTCAATGTCTAATACCACACCATTATAGCTTCAGTTTCCTTTTAAAATAAATGTTTCAAATCATTCTTAAAAAGGATATTTTACACAGTAAACAGCTAAGTATATTTGATTTTTTTGTTTATGA